ATGAGGCAAAGGAATAGTATCAGACAAAGCCGAAAGTGGAGTCAACTGTTGCTTGTGGTCGCTTACGTGGAATATGCTGATTGGATAGTCACACGTTCTTCGTGAGCCCATCATAGTTACCTTATCGTACAGACGTATCTCATTTTGGTGTCTCCTTTTCCGTGACATGCTTTAAAAAAACCAAAAAAAAAAAAAAAAAAGAAGAAGAAAAGAAGAATATTGAATATTTATCCTCATGGTGATCAATTTGAAAAGTTCTTTCGATTTGGGAATTCGGATAAATTGGTTGTAAATTTTAATAGTGGGTTCGTGCATACTGCGTATATGGTGAGTTTGTCCCTGAGGAATATTTTGTCTCATATTGTCTGAAAAGAAAAAGAACAGGAGAAGGGAAAAAATTTTGTTGAAAAAAAAAAAAAAAGGGGAAGGGAAAAAAAAAAAAAAAAAAAAAAAGCATTGGTTTTGGGTTTTGCATTCGGTGGGACCCACCAGGCCACTTTTGCCGCCCTGTGGGCTGCTTTTCAATGGGTGGGAATATTTGGGCTGCAAAGCATCCTTAGGCGCGAATATCTTGGCCCAACAAAGGAACGAACCGCCTTTTTCCTTTGAAAATCGTAGTAAGACATTATGGGTTTATTCTTTTTGATGAGTTTAGTTGCGTTTATGAGAGTAAAATATTGTAATAAAAAAATTAAATTTAAATTTTTATGAGAAATAATATTGTAGTGATATGATTTGAGTCATGAAATGAACATACTTTATATATTTTGAAAGTTTTTTCTTTTATTTAAAGTAAATAGCTTCTTTTTTGAAATGATTGATTTAAATAACACATTTATTGGTAAATAATTATTTTTATGAATAAATAATTTATCTACTAATAATAATTTATTTACATTAAAATAAATAAATTATTTACCAGTAAATATGCTATTTACTTCAATTGTTTAAAAATATGTTTACTTTAAAAATGTTTCACCGTTCAAAAAAAAAAGTATCAAAATATGCTATTTGCCTCTTTATCTCAAAAAAATCAAGTAATGTTACATGGAAATACATCTCTTTTTTTTATAAAAAAAAAAGGAACTGAATATAATTGAAATTTAAAAAGAAACAATTTTCTATTATTTAAAACATCATTCTATAAAATAAATGGATGAAAAACGTTAAGTATAGGAAGTCATACCAAATTTAACTCTTTAACTGAAGAATTCTGTCCAAATTAGTGTGTATATATATATATATATATATATGTGATAACTTCATACTCGTTCTAAAACGTTTTTTAAAACATTTAAAAAACCAAAACAACTGTTCATTTTAAAACAAATGCTTGATAACATTGTTTTTGTTTTATGTTTTTGACTGAGAAAACAACAATTTATTTTTTGGAGGTAGAGGTCAGGCTTGAGATTGAAGGCACGAGTTGGGGTGTGCATAGGGTCGAGATTGGGGGATAAGGTTGGGATTAAAGTCAGAATTGGGATGGTCAGATCGATCACGGCCTATCCTTTGGTCTCGACTCAAACCTCAGCCACGCCATCAATGTAGACTCCCGTCCCGACCCCAACCACAACTTCAATGTTGGTCCAATTAAGAGTAGTATTTTAAATCATGACACGACAACACGATTCGAAACGTACATTAGTATAATACGATAAATAGGTTAACTTTACTCATAATCGGGTTAATACAATTGATATGATTATAAACCTATTGTTCTTATTAACCTATATAATCAGAATTTGTACGATTAATTATATGTGCCGTTTAGAATCTAATTTACACGATATAATCCAAATGTTTATATGAATTTTGCATTTAATGGTTAAAATTCACTTGTTCTTCTCTCCCTTCTTATTTATCTTCCATGCTTACAGATGGTTTGAACTTGATAAAAAAACCAAACGTCCACAGTTTAGAGGTGCCCTAATTATATACTTTTGAAAATCAAACGCCCACGGTTTAGGAGTGCCCTAATTAAATTGATTTTGAGAGATTGATAGCGTCATACTAATTACACATTTTTATATACGAATCTTTATTATTATAATAACTGAAAGAATGTGAACGAATCGTGCTTTTGAGTTGATCAGTTTATTATTTGTTGACTGTTGGGCACGCTCTCTTGTTCTAGAAAAAGGGCACCATGTTTTACTTACTCCAGCATAATGTTGGCAACATTCTTTTCTACGGTTGATTTTATAGCATGATACTTTTTATTTTTAAATGAAGCAACGAAGAAAACAAAAGGAATGGATTCGGTATAAAGACGTCGATTGTTATAGTCGACGATTAAATTTCAAACGCAAAGAGAGATTCTTCATCATATTCATGCCATATCCTTCATTGCCTTCTCTACTATCTCGTATCAAACAACAGTATAATATGAGGCCCAGTTCCTTACTATCACAAGGCCATAAGAAAAATGGAGAAAGAGGAAAATAGGTCAAGACTTGAGATGAATTAAAATTAATAGACCAATAGTTTACATAAGTTAATAAATATGTCAAATTACTGTTTTCGTCCATAACTAGTCTGGTTATGAACCATAACTTGACAAATTATTATCCATAATTGTCCATAACTTGTCTGACTATGAGCCATAACTTGACAAGTTTATCCATAACTTATCTGATTATGAATCATAACTTGACAAGTTATAACCTATTAATTTTTATAATTAAAAATTGACCTATATGCTTTCTTAAGCTTTTCATATTGGCCTATTTTCTACTATTTTCCTAAGAAAAAACAAAAATCAGAAATACTAGTTAAAATGGTAAAAAATATTATTTATGTCACTCTATTAAAAAAAAGTAAACAACCGTCATTCAATTAATAAAAAGAAAATAAAAGATTATGATGATACTCAATTATTTAAAATAACACAAATAATAATATGTATAAAACCATGACAAACTATGTAAGCATTACAAGGGCTACACCTCATATAGAGATAGTTAATTCCCACAGACAACTGACATACCAAGCACAATTGTCTGAAAAACCGAAAATGTTTTTGAGTTAGTTACATATATCTCTATCTTAAAACAGATGAAAAAAAAAATGTCCACAAATTATTATATTTACATATAAGTCTGTAAAATAACTCAAAATGATATTTTTATTTTTAGTTAAATGCCTTCTAAGATCATTTAAACAAATTCACAACCACCTAACTAAAAAAGAGTGTATCTAAAATTATATTATATTAATAACCATAAAGTAGATAGATTAATGATATTGTTGAATTAAAAACATATATAGGGAGTAAATAATCAGAAATAGTAGAAAATATGTCAATATGAAAAGTTTAAGAAAGTATATAGGCTAATTTTAGTTATAGAAATTAATAGGCCATAACTTGTCAAGTTATGATTCATAATCAGATAAGTTATGGACAAACTTGTCAAGTTATGATTTATTGCCAAACAAGTTATGGACAAAAACCGTGAATAACTTATCAAGTTATAGTTCATAACCAGACAAGTTATGAATGAAAACAGTAATTTGGCCTATTTATTAACTTATGTAAACTATTGACCTATTAATTTTAACTCATCTCAAGTCTTTGCCTATTTCTCTCTTTCTCCCTAAAAATTATCATTTCATGTAAATATATTTTTTGGGGTTTTCGCTAGCCCTAACATCACATCTCACAAGAGGTGGGCTCCATTTAAGTATGAGGCACAATCACTTACGATGAGAGTCTTCTAAGGGAGAAAGAGAAAAATATGTCAAGATTTGAGATGAATTAAAATTAATAGCCCAATAGTTTACATAAGTTAATAAATAGGCTAAATTACTGTTTTCGTTCATAACTTGTCTGGTTATGAACCATAAGTTGACAAGTTATTCTCAGTTTTTATCCATAACTTGTCTGGCTATGAACCATAACTTGATAAGTTTATCCATAACTTATCTGGTTATGAATCATAACTTGACAAGTTATGGCCTATTAATTTCTATAACTAAAAGTTGGCCTATATACTTTCTTAAGCTTTTTATTTTGGCCTATTTCCTACTATTTCCCGTCTTCTAATTATGCTAAAAAAAGGTCAAGTCACAAGTGTCATCCTAGCACTACACAACATCTCTACAACCACCACTGTGATTTACAGAATCTATATACAATGCATCCTTCCTACATTTTGACCAAAAATACAACGACTTGAGAGAGAGAGATGTAAAACGACGGCCAAACAGCAACCTCGTAAAAAAACAAAAAACAAAACAATACAAAATAAAACTCCATTAACCTTTCACTATTCTAATGGAATCGGGAAAACGTTTTTAGACCAAGAAGCATCCTTTGTTTTGCTGTCAAAAACAGAACTAAGTATACATATTAAAGCAATGTTGACGAAGACTATGCCTTCTAGTTTTTATTTAACTTTGTTTTCAAATGGAATGGTAATTTTTAATTTGTTTTATAGTGGAATTCATTTGATTTGTTATACCATGTTTATTTTAATAACTTATTTTAGAACAGATTTAGAGAAAATTGTTGAATTACTCAGTGGGCGTGAGTTTAGAATTCTAAAAGATTGTTTGGTTGGGGAATTCTTACCTCAATTTAAATCATGATTCGTAGTTCACTACAGTGTTTTTTCTCATACAAAATACACATAAATCGAAAATAATTCTAATCTCATAATTTTAATCCATGAACTAAACGTCTCCTAAATTTTTATCCCTCACTTTTAATTAATACCCTTTTGATGAATATAATTGTTTAACCAAACAAGATATGGAAAAAAGATAAATACCCCTTTTTAAATTTATGAGTCAATTTTTAAATCTTACTCTTAATAAATATTCTTTCTAATCAATTAACTATATTAATTAAAAAAGTATTAATTAAGAATTAAGAATTAAGTTCAACCATTTTCTCAAAATAAAAAAAATAACCAAACGTCATAGCGCACATATTACCTTCAACGAGACCAAATTTAGAGGCCCAAATCGCAGAAAATATTATGTAAAAAAATAAAAAATAAAAACCAATATTTTAGTTTGACTAGGGTTGACTTTTAGCAAACAGATACTTTTTGAGTTCGCAGAAACCAATCCGCAACCATACCAACGTTTACAGTAAACGGCTCTGACATGATCTGGAGATGAATTAAATCAAAAGCCAAGCCCAACCCAGGAGCAAGTACAAGTTCTAACAATAATTCTTATAAAGAAAGAAGAAAAGGAACATTAAGAATCCATAAAATTGTGCAGAAAAACTACAGTAGACAAGTATCTTATAATAACATCTAACAAAGCGCCGAAGGCCTACATAGGTTGAGACGTTAAAAATCGAAACTCTAGTCATAAAGAGGAGATTACAACACAATCAACTCTCTGTCACCGAGAAAAAACGGCAATGCCTTTCTCTCACGAGCAATGTTAAGATCATTCCTCTGCTTGCGGAGAGCTGCAATGGTATAATAAGATACAAAAGGCATGTATTTTAGACCGAACCATAAATAGCAAATGCTATAAAAGAAAGATTGACAAAACCACAAAGATAATGATAATAATGCTAGTTCAATTACAATGACAATACAAACCTTTGGTACCTCTCATTCATGGGGCTCTCAGGCCCGCCGTAATTGGGACTGTCCCTGGGATCGGGTACGGAATTGGGGCTTGGTTCACGGCCATTATCAATTTCAGCCCTCTCTCTTTCTAGAGGACTATGACTGGGGCCACGACCATTTTCAGGACTAGCCCTTCTTCTCCTATAGGGACTAGCACTAGGATCACGACCATCATCAGGGCTACCCCTCTCCCTTCCATATGGACTACGACTACGGTCACGCCCACGGTCAGCACTCACCTTCTCTCTTCTGTATGGACTATGACTAGGACCATGGCCACGGTCAGCACTCACCTTTTCCCTTCGGTTTGGACTGCGGCTGGAGCCACGGCCATGGTCGGCGCCAGCCCTCTCTCGCCTATAAGGACTTGGGCTGCGGCCACGGCCATAATCAGGGCTAGCCCTCTCTTTCTTATAGGGGCTTGGGCTACGACCACGGCCATAATCAGGACTACCTCTCTCCCTCCGATATGCACCAGGGCTGGAGCCTCGGCCATAATCAGGGCTACCTCTCTCTCTTCGATACGGACTCGGGGAACGTCTTCTGTCACGACCTCTCTCTAGTGACCTATCACGACTTCTATCGGGGCTATATCCGTCTTTCCTTTCATCATCATCCCGTACTGCATATTCCACTGAAATAACTCTATCCATCAACTTGCTGCACATCAATATCAAAAGCAAAACAACCAGAATGTTAATTGAACATTAAGAATTCTTTTATAACAGCTATCAGTCTAAAAGATGCTATTCCAGACAGGTGAATTTCGACAAACATACATCACAACTAGAAAAAATTTTCTCTCTAATTTGGGTTGGAGGAAATGTTTCTGCAGACTTAAAAAATGTGTGCGCGTGTGTGTGTGTGTGTGAGAGAGAGAGAGAGAGAGAGAGAAATTTAGAAATATCCACCTCATGTTTGTAGCCTCCAACGCTTTGGTAGCATCTTCCTGTGATTCGTACTGAACAAATGCAAAGTTCCTTCTAATTCTTACGCTCACTATCTTCCCATATTGATCAAAATGTCTCTCCAGATCTTTGGTCCTAGTGTGATATGGGTCAAAATTTATAACAAATAAGGTCTTTGACGGTCTATTATTAGCTGAAGATTTTTTAGACCCACCGGGCCTTCTAATGCCACGTTCTTGCTGAAATAGTAACAAAGACATTAAAGAGTTAAGTTTCTATTCAAAAAAACAGCCAAAGAAAAAGGAAAGGAAAGAAAAGCAAAGATTACCTTTGTCCATTCTACACGAAGTCTGCGTCCCTTTCGACCAAATTCTCTCCGATCAAGGGCCCGGATAGCATCCTCTGCATCTCTATCATCCTCCATGTAAATAAAGGCAAATCCTGTATATTAAGAAAGCAAAAGAGCCCAAGTTAACACAATTTTCATCTGTTCACGAGGGAAAAGAAAGGTAAGAATTCTCCCGTGAAAGATTCTTTTTACTAGAGACGACACTTCTTCCCTCAGCAACATGCAAACCGCCTAAGATCCTATCCTAGAAATAAAAAGTTTGGCAACCTCTAGGAAATCTTAAACCAAGTCACTAGTAAATTAATAACAGACCTTCTGTAGTAAATTAAGTGATGTCAAGGAACAACAATCCAAAAGTGGATGTCTCATTGTGGGTCAATGAAAAGAGTGGGCCTTCTCCATCTAATCTGCTGCCTCTGCTGTGAGGTTGGCAATGTTTCAAACTTGAAACATGTCTGAAACTGAAGGCTGGGCAAAATTCATGAGGAATGAAAGTCAATGGTGTCTGTGGAAAATGTGGGATGATAGTGCCATCGCATTTCGCGTATCAGAGTGACTCTTCTTGAAAACAAAAAGAGGAAGCTCGTCACAAGCAAGAAACGGAATTCTGAATAGCCCATCCATTAGCCCGGAAGAATATGGATATCCAATGATAATCCTGCGTCAAAGAAAATGTTGAGTATGGGGGGTTTATGCTTCAAAAAAACATTTTTTTTTTTATATATCTCCTGACCCCCCGGCAAAACTCAACAAGAATATGGCTATATCTCCGACATGTATTCTGGATGATTTCAGGTGCAAGTACAATCACTGGTGTAGAGGAAGCTGCCTCATTTACAGATGTGGATTAGCCCCAGCTGAGTCTCCTTGCTGTCGTAGGATGCAGTCGCTGCTCCTCGTGAAGTGGTTACTATATTATTTACTTTTATGTATTTTTTGCTCACGAAATTAATATCCCTAACATAGTCCTGCTCCTCGTGAAGTGGTTACTATATTATTTACTTTTATGTATTTTTTGCTCACGAATTTAATATCCCTAACATAGTCATTTTTGTATATTACATCACTGCTTCCTATATGCACATATATAGCGAATATTAACTTAAATCACCATTTTACGTATAGGAAGAGTACCCTGAACGGAGAAATAATAAATCTACAATCATATACAATATAATAAGATACCCGTCCCTCAAAATCCTACATCTGCTTCTAATAGCACCATTTTAAACCCCAAACTTCCACAATCTACATTACCTTCACCCACACTAGGCAACAAGCAAGGCTGTAAAGGCCAGATTGAAGTGGCATGCAGCCGCAACAGTTTTATTCATCTAAGCTTCAAAATTTATATTGCACTTTGCATTGATTACCGAGCAGGTTCACTCTTTACATCAAAGCCATGGTTATAAACCAAAAACACACAAAAATTTCACGTCGATACAACTATAGTAACAATACCGATACGATCCAGTAAGACAACTCACCAGACTTCATATCCACTCTATCAACCTTCCCATATCTTCCAAAAAGACGTTCCAGGTCCGACTGCCGAGCATCATACTCAAAATTTCCACAGAAGATAGGCCTCATTTTTCCTGAACGAAGAGAATAACATGATATATTTCATTCAGAGAAAAAATACACATCTAATATTTGAACCCATTTCCAATGAGAAGAGGGAAAAACAAATCAGACCACTTAAACGTCAACTAAAGCAACATGCTATTAATCCCGATAAACTATTCGTATAACACCACCAGATTACTGTAAAAATGTACCAGCTTCTCAAACGAGATCTATATACACTGTATGATGACAAAAATTAATTTGAAACGAGAAGGGTATAAAAGAACACCATTGTTAAAGCATAAGGGAAAAACAAGTAATCCACATGACGACGCAGTGAAATCCATTCGAAGTATTAGGGAGAATTAACACTAAAGAAGAAGATGAGTTAAAATTTTCCAAATTCGCCGAAAAATCTGATGAAGTAAAACATGGAAAAAAGATCGAACCTTTCCATGAAAATAGACTAGAAATTCTAATTTAACAACAAAAAAACAGGCACTTACAAAATTCTGGATCGGAATGGAGACGAGAATATCAGATCTACAATAAAGCAAACATAATATCGACTTCAGATCCATATAAACTGATAAACGAGAAATGAAAAGCGAGCCAGATACCAAATTTTCTCGGGACCCAAACAGAAAATCAACAAATTTTTTTCAGAGATAAAAACGTAAAGTAGGTATAAAATCTGACAAATTGCAATCAAATAGGAAATATTGTTTTCTGTAGATTTACCTTCTCTCAATCGTAGCGATTCGAAAGCAACGAAACTTCAAAACCCTAAAATGCGAAAGAGGGTTTTCAGATATTTCTTTGGTTTGACCTAAAGCGGAGAGCCCGTGAGTACACTTGATAGGAAATCCAATGTTTTCAATGGCTGGAGAGCCCTCTTAGTTTTTGAATTTATAAAAGTTGCCCGAGTCTTCCGTAAAAAAATGGAAATTGGAGAAAGGTCCCCTTCTTTATGTATTAATATAAAATTGGCCCACCAAAGGCTGATATAAGTTAGTGAAGTACAGTGCACATTTTTACATCTTGTTGATATTTAATAACATCCCTGTGGATCATAATCGTCGGAATCCGTACCATAATTCAGTAGAATTTCCCTTTTTCAAAAAAAAAAAAAGTAAAATTTAATATTCGAATAAGTTCGGTGAAATTTTCAGTATTGAAATAATTGATATTGTCTCAGATTTTCCTATATTATTTCTTATTAAATAAAAAGAAGAAAACAATTAACAATACATATGAAAACAATTAACAATGCCTAGTCTTAAGTTATTTTATTTTATTTAATCTTATTTTTCTATTTATTTTAAATATATGTACCGTAAAAGTTTTTTATTTTTTATTTTTATTTTTTGCTAAACTTTTAAATGACATAAATTTCAGGAGTTGTGGGAGTACTAATTAGAGAAAGAGAAAAATAAGATAAGATTTGAGATGAATTAAAATTAATAGACTAATAGTTTACATAAGTTAATAAATAGATCAAATTACTATTTTTTTCATAACTTGTCTGGTTATGAACCATAACTTGACAAGTTATGACATATTTTTATCTATAATTTATCTGACTGTAACTTGATAAATTTATCCATAACTTATCTAATTATGAACTATAACTTAATAAGTTATGACTTATTAATTTCTATAACTAAAAATTAACTTATATACTTTCTTAAACTTTTCGTATCCACGTATTCTCTACTATTTCCGTCAGAGAAAAGAAGTCCGGACACACGTATACATCTCCATCTTCATTTCTCATATATTGGGGCTGGACCGTGCTCGGGTTCAAGGCCCGCACCATTATAAACGCTTGGGCCTTGACATACACATGGACCTTTGTGTTCTTTATTTTTTATATAGAAAAATGGAGAATTATTGGAGGAGTCATGAGTATGAATTTTTATCTTTTATTTTTAATAAATATTTTTTTATTAGTATAATTATTTAACTAAAAAAGATAAATTAAGGGTAAAAGATAAAAATTTTGATTCATGTACTTTCAAAAGTATTTGTCAAGATTAATCTTTTTTTGTTTTATTTTTCTTTTTTTCTTGAATATAAAATGTATTGGTAATTGTAATTTACAACAATACGATTTTAGAAGAAAAGAAAAAAAATATACACAGAATATAAAAACTAAAAAAATTAACTATTAAATTTGTGGAACATAAAAGTTGAATTTCTAAAGTTATTATAGGATGTGTTTGGAGGATGAGCTCAAAAAACTCTAATTCCAGTTTAAATAATGTGTTGTCTCTCATAAAAAAAATTTTGAATTTAAAAAGTTATATTACAACGTTTTTTGTCTCACAAAATTTGAATTCCGGTTCAAATCAAAGTTGAACCCACATTGCAAACGGGCCTTTAGAGGTTGCTGGAATAAAAACAAAAACTAAAACAAATGTAAAAGCATGTAAACTAAAGTAGATGTCGTTGAAATGTGTATGAATTTATTTGTTTTTACTTCAAATGTTTTATATAATAAAAAAAATTAAATTTATATTTAAATTTTCCGTTCAAATCTATGAGTGCTGCATTAATTCTAAACTAGCCAAGGACCTTTAGTTGCATGGCCTATTAAATGAGATTGCTGATCAACACTGCTTTGTCCCTGAGAGAGAATACTGTATAGGTCGCACTCCATTTCAAGCAGCTGATCGTCATGATGATCATGATGATGATAAAGATGATAATGATGATGATGATGGTGATGGTATCCTTGTAGATGACCAATGGTAGCAGTGGAAGTAGTACCCTTGAGAGCAATCTCGGCTCGCATTTTTGCTAGCTCAGTTTCTGCATTGTGTATTTGTTGATGTAATTGGGTAATAATCCTAACACAGCCATACACAGGGTCCTCAATTCTACGTTGTGCCTCAAAATACAGAGAGTTTGCTGCTCGAGCTCGGAGATCGTGACTTTTTAGTTGCTAAATTTGTTTGAAAAAAAAAAAAAAAACAGACATATATTAGACAAATGGTAAACTTTTGTATGTAAATTTTGTTCTTTGGCGAACAGAATTTAAAAAAAAAAAAATAGTCGATTGCAATGTTTTTAGTACATTAACGGTCATTCTTAATGTGTTGTAGGAGAAAATAAATAGAAAAGTGGACTTATTCTAACAACTCTAGGCCGATACTTGTATATATACATAATATAATTTTTTTTTTGAGAAATAGTAAAAAATAGGTCAATATGAAAAGCTTAAGAAAGTATATAGGCCGATTTTTAGTTATGAAAATTAATAAACCACAACTTGTCAAGTTATGATTCATAATCAGATAAATTATGAACAAACTTGTCAAGTTATGGTTCATAACTAGACAAATTATGGACAAAAACCGTGAATTATGAACAATAACTTATCAAGTTATGGTTCATAACCAGACAAGTTATAGACGAAAACAGTAATTTGGCATATTTATTAACTTATGTAAACTATTGGCCTATTAATTTTAATTCATCTCAAGTTTTGGCTTATTTTCTTCTTTCTCCCTTTTTTTTTATTGTCTAAATTCAATAAGTAATAAAATCAAAGCTGCATACATTTTTTATTTAAAAAAAAAAAAAAAACTTGACCGTCAAAAAATAAGAATTTCAACAAAAGACCAAAACAGCATATATAAAGGGCCTAGATTTCGATCGAGACATGAGAATAATCTTTTCTTTTAGATAAAAGGAACTAAGGAAGTTAGAACTATTATATAGTTGTCAAATGCCTATATATATACATATAGATAGCTATGTCAAATGTCAATGAAGAAACATAATATAAAATTAAACTAGAAAATAAATAAATATATTTATTACCTGAAGCATTTTTACGACATTGCTAGCACCATAGATTCTATGAACGCAAGCAAATCTTCGAGGATCATTTGGAGGAAAATAAGGAGATAAAATGCACTCTGGAGGACATTTCCTTCTCAAATACTTGCAAGCAGCACAACGTTCGGGGCTCATATTTTCAGAATATATCTACAAAAGAATCTTAGCTAAGTTGGATTGGAATGCCAAATTTTTTT